TATATATGCTGCATGTCTAATTAATTATTTAACACATTTTCAAGATCTTCTTTCTCTCAAATCTCAAAGTTTTGGTCCACTTATCTTCTTCACCAGGTCTTTCTGTAGAAAAGTTGCCTTCCTTAAAAAAACATTTTTACAGATCTCAAACAGTTTGAAATCAAATAAAGGTGACCTCGTTACTGACATTGAAATACCTCGACTTTAATAGAAAACTACCAGAGTTTGAATCCAAGTTCATATTATACATTGATAACTAAAAAGAAAAAACTATGAAAAGCTCATTTTAAAAATTATATAAAATTTATTATTCAGAGTTTGTTCTTTTAATTTTGATATGTTTATTTTGTCTTGCCAAACAATGAAATAGTGCAGTGTTTCCCAAACTGTGTTTTGCAAGGCCTTAATAAGTGTTCCATGAACTATTGGAATAATTAACTAGGAGGCCACCACGTACATTTATATCTCTAAAAAAATATTTAGGATGTACATGCAAGTACTTGAAATGTGCGAAAAGTGGTGTTAAGGAAAAAGTTTGTGAAACATTGGAATGGTGTATAAGATTATGAAGAAAAGAAATTGTTTTAGGTATCAAATATTAAATGCAATATATACAAATGTACAACAAGGTTCTAAAAAAAATCTATTTAAAAAGAACAACACATTTACAATATAATATAAAAATGTATAGATACAAATTGAAATATAAAAAAATAAATTGAATAATATTTGGTCAAAACCTGTTGTTTTTGTTTTCAGAGACTATTTCTGTTCGCATTGCCAGCCACAAAGGTATCTATATGGAAGGGGAGAGAATCCAGCTGTCATGTTCTGCATCTGGTTACCCCACTCCATCAGTGCAATGGGTCAAGGAAGACAAGGATGTTGTAGATACTAACGATACAACAGTTAGAGCTGGGGTGCTGACTATTGAATCAGCCAACGTGGAACACTCTGGAATGTACAAGTGTATAGCAAAAAGTAATCAAAACCAAGCTGTGGACATCACAACCATACACATTAAACTACACGGTATGTTTTGGCAATTAGTTTTAAAGTTTATCTAGTTTAACTAATGGTGAGTCTTGGTTCTTAGTTCTAGCTCGGTAGTCTGACAGGTTTGGTTGCATAATTAATGCAAACTGAAAATGTTGAGCATAAAATATTTAGCAGAAGATTTCGCTGTACAAAAAATAAGACAGCCTTTTCTCTACTTTATAACACCATTGAAAAAAAAATCACTCATAGGCTTATACTTATAAAAGCATTTGACATCAATGGGACCATGGGTTTCCGCTAATTGATGATTTTCAAAAAGTTTAGATAATAGTGAACAAATAGATGCTATCTTACTAGATTTTTCCAAGGCTTTTGACAAAGTTCACCACCATAGTTTGCTTAAAAAATTAAAATGTTTCGGCATTAATGGTCCACTGCATTAATGGTCCACTGCATCAGTGGATTAAAGATTTTCTGATAGGGAGAGAACAAACTGTAATAATAAATGGCTCTAAATCAACACTGATAACTGTAAACTCAGGTGTACCTCAAGGAACTGTGTTAGGTCCACTACTTTTCTTAATTTACATAAATGATTTACCAAATTGCATTACCTCAGGAACAAAAGTCAGATTATTTGCAGACAATTGCATAATATATAGAACAATAAAAACAAAAACAAAACACAGATATTTTGCAAAGAGAATTAGATGAATTACAGAAATGGGAATCAAATTGGAGCATGTCTTTCCACCCAGAAAAATGTCAGTTGTTAAGAGTAACAAAAAAACTAAAACAAATTAATTCCACTTATCTTATTCATGGTAAACCAGTAACACAGACTAAAAACGCAAAATACCTAGGTGTTATAATAAATGAAAAACTGTCATGGAATCCACATATTGATGAAACTATAAAAAAATAAAAACAAAGCATTAGGGTTTATTAAAAGAAATTTCTATAAATCAAATAAGAACATAAAAGTAAAATGTTATTTAACCTTGGTTAGGCCAATAATAAATTATGCATCCTCCGTTTGGGACCCCTCAACTCAAGAAAACATTAAGAAACTGGAACAGACACAAAATAGAGCAGTGAGATTCATAACAAACAAATACACTTAACTAGAGTAACACCTTTAGTAAAATCACTAAATTTAGAAAGCCTTCAGGACAGAAGACTCTACAGTAAAGCAGCAATTATACAAAAAACACTGAACCATAATTTTCAAATACAAAAACAAAATTGAATAAAATACTCTGAAAGACACAAAGATAAAGGCACATTCCTCGTCCCATATGCTAGGACAAATTTGTACAAATACCCCTTCTTCCCTAGTGCTATTAGAGCATGGAATGGGTTGCCTGAGCTAGCCAGGAAAACCAGTGACTTGGCAGAATTTAAGTCATTGGTTAATATGCATGACTAAATGCATGATGCGTAGGACATAATCATCTTCTTTTTTGAAGTAACGTCTCTATTATATAAGATAAGATAAGGATAAAGCTACTTCCATCTCTCAAACACCAAAGCTCCTGGCGTACTAACTCAAATTTACATAAGTGTAAGCTGTGTATGAGGATTAGGCATCAGACCGCTTGTATTTTAACAACATACATTTTGTTTTCTTAACAGCAATTATTTTACTTTTAATAACTAAAGAATGATAGATAAAAAAAAAAAAAAAAAAAGAACATTTTTAACCCACTTCATTTCCTCTCTCACCTTACAAAACAATCTTTGTCCTACTGATGTATAATGCTCAGAGTCTATACATTTCTAATGATAGGCCCAATAGATGCAATCTTACAAGATGGTGCCAAAAATTTTCTTGAACATCTATTTATTTAAACTCTTTAATGGATAGGGCCTACATGTGGAAATAACTCTTGATGTGTCTGTTTAAGATAAAGATTTTCTAGACCAAATTTAATTTTACAGGATAATATTTGAAAAAGTTATATGTCTACAGTCAAACAAGAATTTTCCCAGTGTTGGCAATTAGCTAATAATTCTTTTCTTAAAGATATACATTAATTTGTCAAATTCTTAGGAAAATTATTAGAGTCATTTTTGAGATTCATGCCCAGGTGTTCCCCAGTTGCCATGAATATGCTAGCTGAAAAGAGGAATTATAAAAAAAAGTCTATCTCAGTCTCAACATCTCTAAGGGATTTCAACACAAGGATTAGAATATTAATTTCATTAACTATTGATTGATTGATTTCTATTCTAATACTAGTGTTACAAATACTAGCAATGATTTTTCTTTAGATAAAATTGTTCAATGAAATGATGATCAAGTTAAAAACGAATGCAGACATTTTCCCACTAGAACATTTGTATCTGCTCTCTTAATGTTAGGAAGTCATATGCAGGAGCCAAAGCCTGTCATTACTATTTTTTTTTATGGACATCTTGGTCTGTTTCAGTGCCTATAGCACATTGCACAGAGAAGCTGGTCAGAAGCAAGTGCCTGGCTATTGTAAGGGCACATCTCTGCGGCATCAGATACTACTACAACTCTTGTTGTCAGTCGTGTGAGAGTACTGGGAGGAGACCCAAGTAGTTCCATTCAAACACTTTGATATTATTCTTTATATTTGACAGGATATAAGAGAGAATGTTTTGCTTCATTCTTCAGCATGTTTTGTCTTTTATACTAGTGGCATTAGAACAGTTTTTTTGTACACATTTTCAAATATTTTGTTTTCCAAATTTAGTTAGATTTTTAAAATTAACTTGATAGAATAAAACTGATTGAACCCCCAAAACAAAAAAATTATATACAAATTGATTTCTCACTATGTACTTAAAGCTGTCTTTGATTTCTCATTTTTAAGAAACTTTTACCTGAAGTGTGTTCAGTTTAGTGGAGTGAAAGTTTGTCATAATAACATTTGCTTGATGCATTGTTTTATTGTCTAAGTAAAGAAATTAACTGAGTGTCTTTATTGCTAGTGTTGGCTGGTCAGTTAGATGCAGATGTGTCAGTAGTCCAGTTTGGAGATGCATTTTTATTTTTATATCTGTATTTGACAGTGTGTATATGAAATGTGTACATGTGATAGTGCTGATTCTTCAATGCGATGTGAATTAAGGAAATGGGTCGTTTGAAAGATCAAATGGATTCTTTTGCTTTGTAGTTTTAGTTGAGAAAAAGTATACAATTAGAAAATAGAAGCAAAACATCATCTGAAATGTGAGTGAACAGCTTTAAAAAAAATGTAATGTATATAGTGAACTGTGAGCAAATAGAGTTTATTATGTAATGTATATAGTTAACTGTAAGCAAATAGAGTTAATGATCTCAGCATCATCATGAAAATGTTTTTCTGATGTGTCTGTGAGTGTTCAAGTATTAATTATTAAGTAAATATTTGTAGCAAAGATAAATTGAAATAACATGTTGTTGAAAATCTTGATTATATAACATTTCTCACTGAAAAGAGTCCAATGGAAGTCTAATCTTGTTCTAATGAATTTATTCTTGTTATTCTAAAATATGTGTATGTGCTATGTTGTTTTACTATAAACAATTTTACCAAATACCAGAATTTATTTACTATGTAGTCTGTACACAAGTGAATGGAAAACTTGCTGATATTTGAGTATCATTGGTGAATGCTGGCTCATAGAAGTCTGACATACTTATTGGTGATATTTTTGATGAAGGTGTTCCACATCGAGATGTCACAGGCACATACCTTGGTGTGCAGTAAGCTTTCAGGCTTGTTGCCAGCAAATATTTTAAACTAATATATAAACCTAGACATTATTTTTTATACAATTTTTTTGTTTAGTTTGAAAAATGTTTCTTTTTTTTGTGTGAACAAATGTTTTCTTATATTCTATACTTCCAAGTGTATACCATTAAGACTGTAACTTGTTTCTGTGTGTACAAATACTTTCTTTGATCATATTTTATCTCTACTACAGTATTACACCTAAAGCTTTTGATTCTATGGAGAAAGCTTGTGTATTACTTTACAGGGAAGAGAGGGGGGGGGGGGGGGAGACCTCACCACTTTCTAGCCTACAGTTAAGTAAATGTCAAATCGATACCTTTAGGCTGTTTTTTTATCTTTTAGTTTTTGCTAACTTTGTTTTAGTTGTCAAATTATATGAAACCTAAGGATTGTTATTTTTAAATTGGTTTTGATATAAGGGTTAAAGGTTGCTTCTGCTTCAAAGTCTAAATATAGGCCTACAACATCCAATGCTATAGCCTTTCCATGAAGGTTGTTGGGTGTTGCATGATAGAAATTTCGACTTCATCTACTAGGCACTACATCCATAATTTTGAAATAGATTCAATTCTTATTCAAATTTATTCTATGGTAGATATTTTTTTCAATAATATCATTGATATATTTGGCTATTAGTGATGATACTTCACTCAGATATTCTCTTAGCTTCCTTGTTTTAGTAATTTAATGGGTGAATAGATTATTGAATATATCTACTGAATACAATCAATCAAGCTTGTTAGTAAAGAGCATGTCCATAAGTTATTTTCTAGAAACGTGGTGGCTGGTCAGCTAGATCTAGATCTCCACAATGAAGCAGATTATGTAAAGTAGAGCAAATTAGTTGTTTAATGTTTATGTATCAATCATTAAGAGAGCCACACTACCTGACTCAATTTTGTGGTAGACATTATATAAAGAAATGTTTTATGTGTATGTAAACATGTATCCATCAAAGTGAGATATAATTTACACATTTTAAAAAAAAAAGATTACAGTTTATCTTCTGGAGTGTTCTTCAATTATTTTGTCTATTTTTTTTTTTCATTTCTAATCTAAGCCTAAGTAAGTAAAATGTAGACTCGTAGCCAAACGTTATGGCTGAAATAGAAGAGTCTGTTCATGAATAAAACGATTTGAAAAGTTCAGATCTCACTTTTAACTCAAAGACTCTTTCAAAGTTACAAAACGAATGACAAAGTTGTTGATGGGGGGGGTGTTTACATTTTAACATTTGCCTTCAAACGCTTCTCCTCCCCCCCCCCCCCCCCCAAATCCTTGAAATCCCATTGTTCTGCACTTTCATCTTAACTAGCAACATAGTACCTTCAATGAAGTCCAGTAGGAAATCGGCGCCCTAGGCGCCATTATCCCATTGATCGTTAAAAAGGCTTTTATCGTACGAAAAGGCCTGGACAATGGGGCTCTTTACCCCTGTCCTGTCTAAGGGCTCTCAGCAGTGACGGCCTTAGACCGACTGGGCGACCGTACTACGTACCGCGCCTCGTTCCTGGATCGAGTCGCTACAAGTGGCCGTGGGCAACTCTAACAGATTTACAGCCTTGCGACACATACCCTAGCTGTTACAGCGAATGAATAAATAAACTATTTACCCGCTGCTGTTCAATGAACTTCCTCACAACAAAATAGTGCATCCTTCTACCGTAGGTCTAAACTTTCATCTAGAATTCTTCGGCCATATTCTCATTTTTCTTGATACTGTAGAATTACATAAAATAAATTAAAACTTTTATAAAATCTATTCAAAAAAAAACTTTTTAAGAGTAAATTGTACATTTTCCCCGTAACATTTTGGTGGAGAGGGGTTTGGCTGCATAGAGTATTGACAGGCACTGTTGAGACCAGTAGCGTAGCTAGGGTATTTGATGCCCTGTGCGGCAGTTCCTTATGGTATACTCACAAAAAAAAAGTTTTAAAACAGCAAAAGGTTTCTAATATCGAAATAAAGTGTAGTCATTATTTAAGTATTGCTATTTCGCAAAGAAAGGTATTTCGATCAGTAGCTCTTTCTTTTGTGTTGATAGAAAATCTATCTTCATCTTTTTTCGCCTGGCAACTTTTATCTTGTGACCAATACCTCTTTGAGGCTCTGCATGACAATGTACCATAAAATTTTGATCCAGACTTTAGATGTTAGAAAGTTTGTCCTCAGTTTGATGCCCTCACCACTTGATGCGCCGTGCGACCCGCACATTGCTAGTTACGCCACTGGTTGAGACAGATGTCCCAGGCAACGTCTTGAAAAAAAACAGCTCAATCTGGAAACCCTGGGACTTTCTCTATTTGCTTCAGACTTTCCTTCTGGCGCCGCCGTCACTTGGAATGACCGTAAGTCCACAAATGATGTTTAATGGTTAGAGATAGAGACGTTCTATAAGACACTGATTTGGACATAATCATAAACAATGTATCAGCGACTAGTTTGTTAATGTATACAATGTATACGGTAGGAAAGAACTGTTCATGTCACTCCTTTGTCAAGAGTAATGTATGGTTTAATAAGGTGGGTTTTTTTTCATACTAATTCAGATAGCGATTTTAATGTAGATTTTTTTTTAAGAATTCATATAGTCTTTCATTATGTAGACATACTCTACGCTACGTCCAGTAACACCTGCATGATTTCTGTTTTCGATGCTTTATCAAACTTTACATATTCTGACGACTGACCACAGGTACGAATGGATACCTATCATATGGCTCACAAGATGTAAGTAATGTGAGGGCCGATTTAGGGCACCTAGTACGCCCTTGTTGATAGCCATCTTAGATTGCTAGTATATCTAGTTAGTTTGGCCATCCAATGTTACACTTGAGAATGAAAAGTGTACAATAGTTTTCGCCAACTTTAATGTTTTATAGTCTTCAACATTTTCTTTTAATTAGTTTTTTGTAATCAGAAATGAATACGCTTCACTGGGTCTAGCTTAAACAGATGTAAATGTGTGTTCATTTCTTTAAACAGTATTTGTTCATTAATTTACATAATTAATCTCGACTGAATCATCCAAAAATGCTTATAAGAAAAGGTGACCAGCTTGTGAATTCTATCTTTAGTCTGACAGTTACATTCAAGTGTTAGACCTGACTCCAAAAATAATCTTTTATTTTAAGAAGAAAAGCAGACATAAGGCTACATGACATCACATTCATTTGCGGAAGGTTTTGAAGGTTGGGGTAGCGGTCGATTTTGTTTTGGGGGGGAGTGGGGAGTTGCTATCACCCCAACTGCTCCTCAGCTTTTGAAGAGTAGGGACACCATCGTAATTGTTTTTCTGCCATTGATCATGAGGCTGGCCCGTACTCTACCAATATACAAATATATTTCCACACAAAGATTGAACTGGTTTCGTCACCAAGTAATAATGGCGACTAATCAACCGACCTCCTTTCCGAGGTTTCACTACCAGAAACTGGGAATCGATTAAAATGGAAGGCCAGAGAAAAGAGGGATTGATATACCGAAAGCAGCTATACACAAACGTTTCCACTTAAGGCTTACAACTATTACCGGTACGCTAGTTACCTAGAAACATGGCGGCCGGTCAGATAGAGCTAAATCTCCAAAATGAAGCAGAATATGTAAAGTAAAGCAAACTAAATTGATATCCTAAGATCAGTGATGAACAAGCAACGGCCCGAGGGCCACATCCGGCTTCTTGAAACACCTTACCACAGTACATGACGAGACCCCAACGGACACGGGTATTTTTTTTTATACGGTGATGTGGCCAGTGACAAGGAGTCGAGAATTCATCAGACCCTCAGGCAAAAAAACAACAACAAAGGTTGTGTACAGCTGGTTCAGGTGATGACGAACTCTGAACTTACCTGTATACGTAGCACGTGAATGCAATGGTGAACACCAGGAAGGCCAGTACAACGGACACAAGTATAATGACAGTACTGCTCTCTACTCCAGGCTCGGGAGTCTCTTTGGAGCCTGAGCCTGGCACTGTTGACAATTAGAAAACATGTTTACTTGGGGTCAAGGACTAATTTGTAAATATGAACATTATAGTTTATCAACTTAATAGTAGCGCCATAGAGATATGATTATGACAAGATAATGGCTATTAATTTTTTTTTGTTATCACCCCTACAAAATATCGGGCGTAGCAGGTGGGTATAAGCGTGTTTAAAAATAGATCTTTAATAAACGAATTATTACAATGAATGTAGTCGGTTTATTTATTTTTAATTGTTTAAGATCAATTTTCGAATCAAACACTCTACCATTCCACCTTCGCAGTTAGTTGTTTTGTTTTTTTTAAGATCGACCTGCGGGTCTGTAGTTTTTCTTTTTCTATCTCTATTTATAAGAGTTTCTTAGAATAGAGATTTATTTTCATTGTCTATATGTGTTTGTTATTAGTGTGTATAAAATAATATAAATGTGTTTGTTATTAGTGTGTATAAAATAATATAAATGTGTTTGTTATTAGTGTGTATAAAATAATATAATGTTATATTATTATATTATTAAGATTACTTTGTCATTATTAAATGGGAGAGAATCCAGTCTTCACGAAATCTTTGGTCGCAGACACGAAAGTTTTCTCCCATGTTAACACTTCGAGTAATAAATGGTCAGTGAAATTAGTACCTCACGGACCACTGGCCAAACAGATTGCCCCAGAATAATCGGAATCAGACATATGGCTAATTCAACCACTGCTTTGTTTTGATACATAGTTTCTCAGCAAAGGACAAGATCTATAGAAGAGATATACCTCTAGGAGATGAAGGAAACATTTCACAGTTTAACAAATTCTTGATTATATGTTGTACAACTTGCAGTAGCACAGGAAGTAATGTACAGAGATCAGTGAACATAAAGTAAGTTACAAGTGAAGTCTGAACATGTTAGGATGTGCCTGGTTTTCTGCTCAGTAGTTGAACCGATCACCTCTAGAGAAGATCTCCCCCCGAGCCTCATGCGCCAGAAGTGTGCAAAGTGGCACAATGCTTATTCAACATAAGATTACTCTGCTTGTGACACGATCTCCGTGATTATTAAAGTCCGCCTTAGCTATTGCTTGACTTGACTTTTTAGCTCACAGGGAAGCGTTGGGCCGCAACAATACTTCCCCACGATTCAGACTCTTTTGGGCCATTCCCTCAGCTGGGTCCAGTCATTCCTGCCGTCTTTGCTTCTTGGTTTACTGATCTCCTCCCTGTTTGCTTTGGTCTTCCGTCCTTTCTCTTCCCTTGTGGCGTCCAGTCTAAAGCCTGTCTTGCAGTGCTATCTTCAGTTCTTTGCATTGTGTACCCAATCCAGCCCTATTCGCGCCGTTAGATTTCTTGTTCTCTTGGTGTTTGCTATATTTCTCATGTGCTCCATCTACTGAGCCAAATTTTGTCCTCTCTCGAGTTTTATATATGGAATGATGATTGTTCTGAATAGGTCGATTTTCTTCTTAACTGTGAAAGATATAATATTAAATTTTCAGGACAAACCCAAAGGTAGATTTAGATTTCATCTCTAGTCAAACCTAATATTAAAGTAATCCAAGAGCTCAAGGGATCTATTTCATCTTTAGTCAAACCTTATATTAAAGTGATCTAAATCTGATATTTGATGATGGCTAAGGTCGACAAAAGATTCTCTTTATTTAACTTTGACACCAACCTTTTTTTCATTAAAAAAGACTAATACTTTTCTTAACGTTTAAAAATTATATTTAACGCTCTTGATAGTTCCACGTCACATTAGGGCATTCTTACATTGCAGAGTCTTTACATTGCACAGTTCTTACATTGTTCACTTCTAACATTTACTTCTTAAATTGCTCACCCCTAGAATCATAAATTGCTCTATTTGCACATCGCTCACAGACTTACCCTGATTCTGTTATTAAACGTTGGTGGTTAACTTACATTAAAACTACCTAGAACTAGTTTATAACTTATACTAAAGCTACCTAGAACTAGTTTATAACTTATAGTTAAGATTCCTAGAACTAGTTTATAACTTATACTAAAG